GGAAAATTAGCATAATAAATATATACACCTACATACACAAACATATACACAAATATAACAAGTAATGCATTTTAATCTATCTAAGCATTTTATCTATTTAATATGCAATTATCTTGATATAAATTTTAAATAAATGTAAATATATTCGCGTAATAATAGTATGAAATAAATATTAAAGTAAATATAAGAGTAAATGTCTATTGTATACATACATACATACATATATATACGTATTGCATTCGAGAAATTTCTATTGTAAACACATGATTTTTTTTAGATGTTTCAACGAATTATGTTTGTTTATAGCTTATCGTGGCGCCATACGTTTAATCTCAACAACTTTGTATCTATCAATTATTTCCTAATCTTGCTGAAAAAAAAGAAAAGAAAAGAAAAAGAGAGCAATGACTACAGGATTAAAGACAATGGAATTTCTAAGATTAGGTCGACGGGTTCGTCGACGTTTAAATGCTCGAAGCGGTGAGTAATAAAATAGTAATATTACTTCCGCTCAATCTAGATCGCAATATTATCAAATGATCCGTGATAATAAAACGAAACGTGAGCGTGCTTAATCAATTGCTGAGTCTTCTCGCACGTGATATTGTTTGTGTCGTGCTATTATCGCTATATGCATTCGCTTGAATACGTGCGACGTGATTAAACTTAAACTGAAATATGAGCGAAAGTATAGCGCTCATAATAGAAATGTTTCCACGAATCATTCAATTGCTCAATGATTATCATCCAATCGTTAAAATTTTATCATTGAAATTTAACATTTAAAAATTTTAATATATCGTATACGAACTTTTCGAATGAAATATTAAGTTATCTTAATATTATTTATACTATCCATTATACTTAATGCGCACAAAAATTTAGAGAGCAAATCATCGATGAATCTCTTTATACTTGTTATGCTTCTAAGCCGATAGATTGGAACTAAATATAATACACAGAGAAGATAAGAATCCGTAAGCATCAATGAAGCGTCAATAAGTGTCAATAAGCGCTTAAAATTTTTTTTTATAATGTTTGCACAAACTTTGAATCGAAGAAAAATAAAAAGCGAAGGAGAAAAAGTTAAGAAGTATACACGTATTAGTCAAATAATCATTTTTAATAAAAATAGCAAATGTCTGCAATTTTCATAATATCTTAATAAGATGTTGAATGACCTTTGGATTCGATAAGTGAATTGTACATTTGTGTGGTACTCGTTCGATTACAGTCGAATACATTCACGTTCTTGATAATAATTTCTTTTAGTTGCACTTCGTTGATGAAAAAAAAGAAGAAGAAAAAAAAAATGATATCCAAAATATAACACCAATCGAGAAGTAATTTTTTCCCACCAGAAGACAGAAAGAAATTAATTGATAAAAAAAAAAAATCAGGAAAAATACAAACATTTGCGCATCGTTATTTTTGTTGAAAAATGATTATATAATAATTTCGTTGAAATACGCTTCTTTTGATTTTTGACTTACAATTTTTGAACCAATAATTTTTTAATGCTTAATATTTAACGTTTCTAAAAATATTATCTTTCCATGTTACTTTTAATTCCAACTCTGTTGATCTCTATTTTTAAAAAAATTCTTCGTTACATAAGTAAACGTTATTTTATACATTTTTTTTTTTTTTTTTATCATATACTTTTATCCACTTATTGCAGATCTCTTATAAATATCTATTGTCATATGTTGAATACAATTCACCGTTGAAAATGTAACTTTGGTTGATTGTCTGCATTTAAATTCATCTTATTAAGAACAATTTGAACAACAATTATGTAATGCTCGTTTATCGATGTGCATATAATAGAAGCGATTTATAGGGAACCTTCAGTTGTCATAAACAATGCGATAGAACGACGAATTATGGCATCTCGTAATTTTCTTGTAAAAGTGCAATAGAAATGTTTAATAATTCACCAGGGAAACGGCGCGATCAGTAGAAATGTTTTGAGAGATTTGTTACTCGCGTTCCGTTCGTCGCATGTTTTTAATGTATGAAAACATATTGCGCAGACTTTATACTTTATCTCATGCGTGATTATATGTAAAAAAAAAAAAAAAAAAAGAAAATACTATTGAAATTATCTCTCTGTCGAAAAAGAAGAAGATGGGATGGGAAGCGGAAAGTGGAGACGATTTGTTCAAACATTGTAATTGATTGCGTCAAATTGGAAACTCCTCCAACTTGTGATTTCAATATTTTCATAATTATTGTGTGCCTTTTTGGAGGAAGGAAACAAACGTTTCTTTTTTTTTCTTAATCGATTAGTATTCACAAAAGGAGAATCAAATTAAGAAAGAAATTTCATGAAATCAGTTTCAATTTTGAAATTTAAATATTTCCAATTTTTGGCTTGTTGTATATATATATATATATACAAGCGTGTAAGTGAAGATCGTAAATAATTGATTACATATACGTTTAAAGACGATAATTCATCTTTATGAAATTTAGTTTTTCTTTGCACAGTGAGCGACCAACTTCTTGGTGACGGAGAGGAGAAGAAGAAAAGGATCACGTTGAATATTGACACGAAAATGTTAAAGATTGGATTTATTGGAGGAGGCAAGATGGCTCAGGCTTTGGCTAGAGGTTTCATACGATCTGGTAAAAATTAGCTTGCACTCATTTATTCCATAATAATTATTATTTCTTGCGACGATATTGAGCATTGATATTGAATGATTTTATATAATAAAATTCTGACGTGTGAATACCGACGCTGATTTTATCATTTAAACGCACAAATCATCAATGTTTGATTTTTCAACGTGTCCATTACGTAATAAAAATATTTATGATTTTCAGGATTAAGCAAAGGTGAAATGATGTTGGCTAGCTGTCTTCCAAATGATATAAGTAGTATAGATGCGTTTAAGGTAATTTTTTACCGAGTGAATTTAATTTCTTATCATTGCATTCCAAGATGTACAAACAACGATAATAAAAGATGATTATCAGATCATTATCCTTATCAGTTTTGCTTTAGAAAAAAAAAAAAAACATAAAAACAATATTTTTGTTGCTCGGCGAATAGATAGTAAAGATAGAAATACTTGACATTCAATAATAATAATAATTAATTTTTATATATGTATATGTATGATTATTCGATTCACAATTGAAATTAAATACAATTTTAAATGTAAATCAATTCATTATTGTAATTTTAATCTACGATTAGAATTGTTTTCAATTCATATTAATTTGCAATTCAAATTATTTTAACATATTGTTTTAACAACAAATATAATTCTAATTTTATCTTTGAAAAGGGAACGCTGATAATTAAAATACAATGTGATTTCACTTTAGCGGGTTGATAATGTATTGATAACAAATATAACATTCTTTCTTTTAATATTTAAATTTGAAATAATTTCTCAATAAAAATATAAATCTTTATATCTCTTGTTTTGAGATTAATATTATTATTGTTAACAAATATTCAATTTATCGATGATCATTGGAAAAATATTTTCAATGTCGTATTGTATCTTATCTTTCATAATAATAATGATATAATAATAATAATTCCTTCATAATAATTTTTTAACGCTTGTAAAATTTACTTTTCATTTATCATATATTGATACATCGTATAATATATTATTGAATATATATTTCACATATTTTGATTTGTATTAATTTTTAATATTAATATCTTAATTTTATCTTGATTCCAGGAAATAGGATCAAATACTGTATTTTCAAATCAACCTGTAATTGATCATGGTGACGTTTTGATTTTGTCAGTGAAACCACAGGTGGTTCCAAAGGTTCTTCCAGAGTTAAAGAATTACAAAAAACTTTTACTTTCTATTGCTATGGGTATTCCATTGTCGTCATTAGAAAAGGTATAATTTTACTTTTATTGTTGATACATTGAACGCAATATAAATTGTATACAACTCACGATATTTTCAACCGCAGATTGGACACTCTATAAATTAGATATCTTTCAGAATATAATTGTATATTATCACAATTACTTTCTGTATGATCTTAACTTTTCCACAAAAGCTTTATTTTTATTATGTATATAAGTAATATACTAGAATTACAATTTTCTAACTGAAATTCAATTTATTTTTCAGAAACATCAAAATATTTTTATAAAATATAGTAAAAAAAAAAGTTATATAAATAATTAAGATTTTATTGGTTTAAGAAATAATTTTTAACGATTTATGTTTAAAAAAGAAAAATATTAAACATAAAAAAATGAATTTCTTCAAAGAAATTGTTGCATATCAGTTCTTATATTTTTATGTGTAAGGTACTTTGCAGGATATATATTATATTGATCTTAACATTCTATGAATTATATTATACTTCATAATCACAAAAAAATAGTATTTATATTTAAATATTCTTCAAAGTTTCAAATTTTTTTTTTGGAAAATATATTTTCAAAAGAAATCAAGAATAATAATACATAGCCTTGAAAGTTTTTATTTTTTACTTTGGCGTTTCAATACGTTAAATTTATAAATATGTATCGCGATTCATAACAAAAGAAAATTTTATTTTCTATCTTTTATTCTTTTGATTTGTTGATTTTATTATTTAACACTTTTAATTTCAATTTTAGGCCTTACCAGATGGAACTCCTGTAATCAGAGTAATGCCCAATACACCAGTTCTTGTAGGTTGTGGTGCAACAGTGTATGCTCGTGGAAAGCATGCAGGCGATAAAGAAGCTGAAATAGCAGAAAAATTATTCTCCTCTGTGGGTCTATGCGAAGAAGTACCTGAAAATTTAATTGATCCCGTTACGGGTTTAGCTGGTTCAGGACCTGCTTATGTACGTTTCAAAATTTCACATATACATTCTCAATAATTACAGTAATAAATAATTTTTATTCTTTTATACTTTTTACCAATATAGGTATATATGATGATAGAGGCTTTGGCGGATGGTGGTGTAAAAATGGGTCTCATGAGGCCATTCGCGTACAAATTAGCTGCACAAACTGTTCTTGGAGCTGGTACTATGGTTCGAGATACGAAGACACATCCAGGACAGCTTAAAGATGATGTAGCATCGCCAGCAGGTTTAAAAAAGCTATATTTAATATCATGTAACACATTTATAAACAATTATTATACATTTCTTATTTACAAATTTATTTATTCTTATTTGAATTAGGCTCTACCATAGTTGCATTACACTATTTAGAACAACACGGATTGAGATCAGCTATAATTGGAGCAGTTGAAGTCTCAACGAAGCGATGCAAGGAAGTTAGTTCAAGTACAGAGAAAAATTAGATTGACAAAATGAAAGAGGAACTATGTAGTTGTTGATGAAAAAAACGAAGTAAGAAAGCATCGTTGTAATCGTTACAGTCGTAGAAAACAAAGTAAATCATAGTATGTTTTAATTTGTAACGTAGAAACGTTTTATGTATAATTTCACAATCGTTATCTTTTATAAAAAATTCCTAACATAATAATTCTGAAAAAAATTTTGTATATTTTGTATATAATTCTTTTAACTTGATAAATGTTTATGATTCATTGTTGTATGTTCAAAGAACAGCGTCCAAAAATGTTAATTTAAGATCTGTTATTTTTTTGATGAGAACATATTTTGTAATGAAAATGTATAAAAATGTATATAATTATATCTTATAATATATTATTAATATATTACTAATATATTTAATAATAACATTTTTACGCTTATGCTTTTAGTATAAATGAAATAAGAAAATTCGAATATGTTCTTCGTCTAAACGTTTCATGATAAATTCATATTAAAATTATAAAAATTATCATACAAATTATAATTTTTTTATACATACAAACATAATATATATTACATATAAAATTATGGCATTTTATACTGTATTTAAATAAAATTTAATTAACATATTAAATGTTAATTTTACTGTTTTATATTGAAATGTTAAAATAAATATTGAAATTTTAAACATTTCTATTACAAATTTTTTTATAAATAGATTTTATGATACCTTTTCTTTTTAATATACGCATATAGAAAAATATAATTTCTTCTTCGATTATTAGCATTTGCATTTTTAAAATTAAATTAATAGCTTAGGTTATTTAGCATTTAGCATTTAGCATTAATTCTAAGATGTAAAATATTTAAGAATATTTATGAGATAAAAACATTTAGCATTATAATGTAAAAATAATTAAATTTAATAAAAATTAAATATTTATTATAATTTTATTATAATAATTTATAATATTTGCTGTTCAATTATATTTTTCTTGTTTAGAATTAAAATTCACTATTAAAAATTAAAATCTGATTTAATCTAAAATTAAATATTTCTCTATAATATATAATAATTTTTTTCAATAATATCATTATATGAAATATTTTTGTCTTTACATTACAATTCATAATATTTATGCGTAGTAATTTAATCTAAAATCTAAATACTCTTACAATTCTGTATAATCTATCAAATTTGTTGATTTTTGTATTACTAAGAATTTAATGTAGTCATGTATTCTGTTCTTAACATTTTCACTTTTTTTTTTGGTACTTTTCTTTTTGTTTCTATCATTCGTTCAGAAAAATTTTCTTTTTATTTTTAATATATCATACAAATTTTTCAAATAATGTGTTAAGAAATATACATTTTCATACTATAATAAAATTTCTTTTCAATAAAAAGGAATAAATAAAGATAATTTGTCTATGTTATGATTTTGCCCGACAAATTATTTCAAAAATTCCTTAATTTATAATACAATGCATTATTTCCATTGTCCCCAATTGCTAATATCTTCTAAATAATATCATGTAATTCTTTTTGAACAAATTTGTTATTTTTTCTATCCAATGCATATAATATTTACAAAAAATCCTATAATTTAGCTTATTATAAATGACATACATATTTTGTAAAGTAGAATTAATTCATTTTCAACTGCAATATATTCTTCGTTCTAATCTAGCGTTTTTTTTCACATTTAGTTTTCATAATTCAGGAAATTATTTTATATTTTAGCAATTTTCTTTAAATTTTTTTATATTTTTTGAATTTCAATTTCTTTTCAATTATTTTTTGATATCCAGTTCTATTTCAATAGAGGAAAACTATAAATTAATCAAATTAAAAAATATCATTAATATTTTAAATATGAAATGCAATTTATTACTTATTAATGAAGAATTACATTGGAGAAGCATTATATTGATATTTAGATTGTGTTATTAAATCTATAATAAATAATATTTATAATTCCTCCATTTGGATATTTATGGAAGCATTAATCAAAGAATCAATTGAATTCATGATCATAAATCTTAAAGAAATCTAATATATATATAATTTATCTAAAAATATATATATATATATAATTTATATTATAAATTATATTATAATATATATAATACAAAATTTAATATAAAAATATTATTTTTTACTTACCTATTATTTTAATATTTATAATAAGATATTTTATTACAAATAGAAAGAATGACTGTATTTATATATGTATTTGTTCATTAAATGAATATTTATTTTTTTTTTCTTATTCATTTTAAATATTTAAATTTATTATTATCATATTTTATTTTGTTAAATTATTCATTATAATTATAAATTATTTTGATATTTATATAATTATTTAAAATAACTCATTATAGTTTTTTCATAATTTATATTATTTTCCGTATTTTCTATTATTTTTGTAAATGATTTTATTATCTCTTATATAGAGATAAAAAAATAAAAAATAGTTATACTTTTTACAATTTTATACTAATGCAATATTTTTTAGGTTATGTTTTTACACATAATATTTTCTTGTTTTAAACTAGTTTGATATAATTATAGATATCGTTGATAATGATGAGTAATATCATGTATTGTAATACTATAAATTAAAATGGAAAAATAGTTTAAATTATATCATTAAAATTAAATTAATTATATTATAACATATAAGCAAAATACAAGTAACAAAATATCACTTAAAATAACAAATGTGAAATAAAAAAAATTTATTCAATAATTAAGATATTAATATGAAAAACTTTGCTTTTAAAAGATATAAATTAATTATTAATCATTTATTTATTTATAAAGAAAAAGAATGTTTTAACATAATTTAAATATTGTTTAGAACTTTTAAATTTTGAATATAAATATTAATATTGTAATCGACTTGAAGATGGCAATGTTTGTTACATGTCAATCATCATTAATTTAATAGTTTGAACTGTTAATAGTTACTAAATCAGAAGTTTTCACATTCTTTTTTTGTTCGTGATATATAAAATGTTTGTATTTGATAAAAAAACTGTTCATAAATATGTGGTTTCAATATATTTTGTTTAGAATCAATATTGATTTATTTTAGAATAGAAATTTCATACTTTATTTTAGATTAAATTTCATTTAAAATTTTGCATTGCTTGTAATCATTATTTTAAATTAAGTATTAAAAATCTAATAATAATATTAATAATATAATAATATAATTTAATATTTCTAAAGCATAAAATTCAATTTTTATCAATATATTTAAAATATTCTGTGATTGATTTTTTTACAATGGTTTAAAAAATATTCAAATTTGAAATTCTTGTAATGCCGTTAGATGGCAGCACATGATACAATTATAAGCACATTTGACAGTAGAATATTTTATTCGGAAACGTTCGACAAGTGGCGTTTGATATTACAAGTGCGATGCATGATGTGTGTAAACAAAAAAAGTGTATTAATGTTCCGCGAAATGTTTGGAAAACCTGATACAAGTTTGTGATAAATGTTAACTTCATCAAATGATTGGATGGACATTCATGTCAAGAAATATTTCGGTTACCATCACAACGAAGCATTTCAGCGAGCATTGTGGGTGAGTGTTTTTAGGTTATGCATTGATTTATGAATAACGATTTCGCTTATTTTAATCAAATATCATATCAATACTACTGTCATATCATTGTAGAATTATTTTATTCTTTCAATTTTGTCAAAAATCACTTATTAATGTATAATGTGTTCTTTTATCTGCCATTCGTTTATTAATCATCGTATCTAATTTTAATGACATATGTAATACTTACGTATCATGAAAAGAAAAATATAAACATATAATTATTCAAATTTCCTTTATAATTTCTATTAATATTATTGAGGTTTAACCTTAATCATGTAATTTACATGATTAATTTCATTTACATGATCCAGAATTATTTTGTAATATTTGTAATAATAATCGTTATTTTTAATAATCTTTCAATATATTTTTAAACTTGATATGTTCAAACATGATATTTATTATATAACTATATATATTTTAATTCTAATTATATTTCTATTTTAAGTATTATATTTTTTTATCTTTTTGTCTGTTAAAATTAACTATAAAAATTAGAACGTTTTTGTTTTATTGTCTTCGAATATATTTATATCTATATATATATTAATAATGCATTATCTAATACACTAAAAATAATAATAACAATAATAATTATTATTATGTGTATTATTGTTAACGAAAAATCTTAAAATTTACCGCATGATAAATTGCGATTTGTTTACGTTAAAACGTACTATTTTTGTAATTCCTTCGATAGCTCAGTTGGTAGAGCGGTGGACTGTAGTTGGTTGATTTCTGGAGAGACATCCATAGGTCGCTGGTTCGAATCCGGCTCGAAGGAAAATTTTTTTAATTTTCTAAAATCATGATTTTCATTCTCATCATCTGCTTTTATATTTTTACATTTTTTTTTTACTATATTTTATAACATAAATAAAACGTAATTTGATAATATAATATTAAGAAATAGAAAAAATAAATTTTTCTATTATTAAAAAAATATTTTGTCTTGTTCTTCGAATGCATTATTGCATTTTATTAATCGATATAGTATAATTTTATTATTATTATTTTATTTTATGCATCAAATTCATACTGCCCTCTGGAAGTGCAACTACATATCATAGTGTAGATGTTTGGTGGTAATGCAGTTTATTCTTTTTACAACTCCGCTATTAACTAATTAAGAAAAAGATATCTAATTTGTATTTTTATTAAATTGAAAATAAGTATCAAAAATTATTATTTTATTTTTTTTTATTTAATTTTTGAAAAACAATTAAAAATGGTAGAAATTAAATATTCCTTATTAATTTTGAATTATGAGACATTTATTTTTAAATAAAAAATATTTGTATCACTATCTCATGTAATAATCATTCTTACATTTGTCGCAAGATGGCTTCAAAGTCATCTCGCGATCGAATCAAATTTTCGATTGAAATTCAATAAGAATCTCGGTGAATTTGTAGCAAATGAATAACAGTAATACTAACATTAGCGAAAAAATTTCTAAATAATCGAGTGTGCCGTGAAAGAAAATAGGGATTAATCTAGCCTGGGCAATCGAGCGAATCGTTCGCGACGCTGATACACCGCGGGCGCGTTCACGTTAATTTATCGCCGGTCCGCTCTAATCGTCCTTCGTAATTTATTACTACTCTGTTCATATTTATTGGAGGGATAGCAAGCTCCTGGCGCGGTGTATTGTACGCGCGAAATTGCTTATATTGTTGGTTGCACGTCAGATCGCGATAAATTATTCGATCGCAAAGGCGTGATATCTGATGCGCGCTCGATAGATCGTAACTGTGGACGAACATGATTTGATGTGGTACTTTATACGACATTGCGCATGCGTTCATCGTTGCGCGTAAGCATCGTGCAATAATCCGATACAGAATTTGAATTTTATTATTTTTAATTTCTTTTTCAATTAAAGTTCATTTGATCATTATTAATTTTATCAATTTTGAAGAGTTATTATTTAATATCGTATTATTAGACATTTTATCCGTATCTATCTACTTTTTTTTTTCTTGAAAAAAGATCAAGTTATAAGACAGTTTTAGCACACACATATTAAAGATTATTGATCGAAACGGGTTTAACTGATCCTCTATCTTCAACGTAGCCTCTGTTCGGCTCATAAGTATTCTATTCAAGAGGATGATATCATACCTCGATTTACTTAATAGAAGTTTTCATTGTTATTACGTTAACTCGGAAACTCTCTATCTATCTTATTATACAGCTTTATCGTTTAACGAGTGTATATCTTATCTTTCGTTTCTATTCTGAATTTTCTTTCTTTCTATTTTAAAGCATTTGCAATCTCAAAAAAGTTTGATTCTCTCTCTTTCTGAAAGCGAAACTTCCTATAAAAGCTTTGAACACACACACACACACACATTCAAAGTTTTCTGCTGTACGCACTATTTGCACGCAAGTTATTTCCGATATACGTGTATATCTGACGCGTGAGACGTGCATATCTGACACTTGAAGGAAATCGTACAAAGCAAGCCTTACGTGACTTGCCATGCCACACACTGTATGACTTGAGGCGAGTTCTCGTGTGAATACGTTACGGATATCACGATTGTGCTTATTCATAATTGCTAAGCTAACGTGTAAATGTACGGTTTGAAAATGATGTAGGAGTAACGGTTTAATATAATAAAAATAACACAATTCCAAAATTGCAGAGAATTAATTATACAGAGAATCAATTTACATTATCGATAACAAATCTTGCTCAAACGTTGAACCCATAGATATAGACGATAATCAGATCATTCCACAACAACCAGATCGGATGAATCGCGTCACCGATTTATCCGGTCAAATATTTGCTTCCGGAATTTCGACGTTGGCGAATCTGGCCAACCACCAATAGCTTTTTGTCATTGGCATCATAACGATAATCGTAGACTGACTTGATCGCACGCAATTTCATCGACGTTTCATAATACAATTTTCCTCTAAAACAAAAAAAAAAAAAAAAAAATCGAACGAAAAAAATCGTTTGACAAAAATAAATTACAATAAATTTGATCGTTCCTTCTTCCAAATTCCGCAAAAAAAAAAAAATTTACATACAGCTTCGAATCCCTCGAATTTAATTTAATTTATAATAAAAATAAAATTCCTTTCCAACGAAGTACACCAATTATCGACTTTTTAGTGTAATCCTTCACCCGTCGGCTAGTGAATAGAAGGCCAAAACCTCCTATGAATTCCCCTAGATTCGAAGAGTCCGGTCTCGAGACTCGAGAGAGTTAGCGTCGAAACAAAACTGTTGAAAGCGTTTCATTAGCCGATCGAGCCGAGCCGTCGTCGTCGTCGTCGTCGTCGTCGTCGGGGTCATTGTTCGAGAGATGACCACCGGCAGAAGACGCGAAAGGAGAAACTACGGGATCAATATTGGCCCGGGGGAGGGGGAGCAGGCAGGGACCAGTATTTGTTTGGGACGAAGCGGATTGCACATGGACGACACCGGCGATCGATTCGAACTCGATGGAACTCTTTCATTAAATCGAAAAACGTCTTCGTTCCAGCGTGAAAGAACTCGATCGAGATTCGAGAGACGGTGGATGGTTTTCTCGGGGAACAGGTGCGCCGAACGAGTTGATTCTTCTCTCTCTCTTTTTTATTTTCTTTTAGGTCTGTTAGGTAAAGGAACTTGTTGGAATAGATCAGGGGAAAGGATGATTTTTTTTTTTAAAAACGTTATAAGAGCTTCGTTACAAGTGCTTCTTATTTCTGAAATTTATCGATCAATTCGATGATTCTTCGTTCTTTTGGTTGGAGATTCAGAGAAGAATTCGTGGAAAATAGGAAAGGGCATTGAATACAAGAATAAAGAATTAAAATAATCGCGGTGTAAACGAAACGAGAATAGAATTTATTATTTCGATCGTTAAATCGAATGGAAAATTATCGGGATTGAAACGAGATCGATCTGTATTCGATTTAAAATTAATGCCCCTTGTAATTAAAGGAAGTGTCCAATGAATGCGCCCGCCCGCTCGCCGTTGAAACGCAACGATAAATATTTAACATCCAACTATTTTTCATATATTAATAATTCGTGTCGTCGTTGCGCCAACAGATTTCCAGATATTCATGAAAATTTATTAACGGTGGCGTGATGTAACGGCGGGGAAAAAAAGTGTCGATGAATAATAAAAATTAATGGCGTCTGTAAACTGAAACCTCGTGTCTCGCACCGAGCGTGGGAAGGGAGGGGAGGCTCTTCTAGAAAAACGCAACGACCGCCTGGATCTCATCTTGGAGATCCGAGGCGAAATCGAATCGATGAAAAAAACGAGAAAAATGGATATATATGAAATAAGAAGTTGGCGGTTCGATGAGGTTCAAGGAATAAAATAGAATACAATCTCTCCCTTGCAAGATTTATTCCTCGGTTTATTTCGCTTTATATTTATCCCGGACAAGAATACCTTCTTCTTGTAAATAACGCCTTTCGAATAAAGAATAACGTTTCATAAAGAAGCATAGACAAGGTGTATATACAGCGCGATGATCCGTCGCAAAAATAAAGGAGAAAAATGAAATCGTAGTTTAAGGGAGAGATGGATCGATAGGAGGGATCTCTTAATTAAAATTAGGAGATCAACGGAACCGTCGTGTTGCGACGCTTTCGACAATCGTTTCGGCTCGTCGTCCCCAATTTGCATAACAGTAAAGATCCCGGGATTTCCCTTCGTTGTGCACGGGGAGACACGTAACACGCGGCCGTTACTTAGGCAATTTCATTAACCGCGAACCTACTTCCGGCGTGGGGCTCCCGACCAACGATACAACAGCTTGGGGATTGCGTCACGATCACGTGACCGAGCGTGCGCCACCTATCTTCTTTCCAAACTGGTCTCGTTTTCCGACTGGTTACACACATCCACTCGGCCTCCCCTCGAGTAAGCCCTGCGAAACTCTCGCTCCAACGTCTTGGCGGTTGTGCAAATTGGTAATTGGAAGTCGTATGATAAACGTAATAACCGCGGATTGCC